AGTTTGCGGGCTCTGGCTGAAGTGACCTTTCCTCGCCGCACTTGGTGATACTGTACCGACTGAGGACTGCGAGGTTGGCAAGTTGAGGGGAGAGCCCCCGGAGTCCGGAGAGGGCTGGGCTCCTTGCCCCTCATTCGCTCGCCGCTGTTCTCTGCTACTGGGAGTGAAAGCCTATCGAAACCGACCGAGGCCTCGGGATCCCACCCGAGACCCAGCCGCAGAGCTCGGTACCTCTTGCTATCCCCACGGAGAACCCCGGAGCCCTCGCTGGGCAGGGGAGGGAGGGCGAGACAGAGGCATGGCGAGGTTCTCGAGGGCTGATCTGGCTGCCGCAGGAGTTATGTTACTTTGTCACTTTTTAACCGACCGATTCCAGTTGGCCCACGGGGAGCCTGGACATCAAATCACTGGTAAGAAGCACTTTACTGGATTGTTTTTGTGTGCAGCTGAAGATCCTTCTGGTGCCCTGGTACCCCATTCCCAATCCACACCCACCAATTTCACTGCCCTTGGGAAACTTATCCTAGTTGTTTTTATGGGAAAACGAGTTTCCCAAAATGGGCAAGTGTTGACCCAAAGAAGGTGTTGGAGACCAGGACGTCCCCGAGGCTATGGTGCTTTCTCCACCTGGGCACCAGGGGGTGGTCCTGTCTGCCCCAAGTAGCCAAAGGAAGCCCCAGTGTAAGAACCAGCTGTGGTGGATACCTAGCCCTGAAGCTTGGTCTTACCAGGCTGTCTCCCCTCTGGCTTCTTTTTCCTTGACGCTTGGAGAAAGAGCCTCTGCACCAGCCTCAGAAGCGGTAATGGGGGATGTAATGACAGGCAGGGAAGGCAGGTCTCCCCCTGCCAATAGAAAATGCCTTGTGAATGCAGATTCCTTCTTCAGAATATCTCCAATAGCTATCTCGGTGTGGGGTTAGGAAGTGGAATGCCTTAGGTTCAGCAGGGCTCAGGGATGTAGAGGAGGTGAAGATGGGGCGGGCGTGCCTGTGAGGACCAGCCCTGGCTCCATTGTCCTCTGCCTCTCAGTTTCACAGACAGGCCCAAACATGCCAGTGATTCCTTGGGGTTCCTTGACACTGAACTGGGAGGAGGCTGGGCCTCCAAATCCTGGCAATTGGCAGCACCCCTTGTCCTGGTGACCTCTCTGGAGAGGCGTGTTGCAGTGAACAGTGTCTTAAGAGTGAGTTGGACTGGCTAACCTGCCTGTCTCTGAGACCACCCTGTCAATGTGGCTCTCTACAGCTTGCTCCCGGTTTCTGCCCATCAGTAAAGAAACCAATGGGCAGTGAAACACCAGGGCAAGAGTCTAAAGTCCTGTAGACTCCCGGAGGGGGTGAGAGCAAAGAGTACTTGAAGAGAAAAAGAAAGAAAAACTTCCTAGTTAGAACTATCACTTTTGTTTTATTTTGTTTTGTATGTCTGTGTTTAATTAGAGAGGGTGATAAATGGATCCTCAGAAGTATGTATAAGGTACCCAGCTGTCAACCTCAGATGAATCACAGAAAGAAGTCTGGGAGGGACACCTGGGGATTCCAGGTGAGGATGTGCATTTACAAAAGCCTTGAATAGGATTGTACCACCGTGAGAGACATTGGATGGCCCAAGCAGAGTGTCTACCACCAGAATACATTTTAACAGAGAAAGAAGATACTTACTCAATGCTCCTATTTAAGGTTGGAAAGGTGTGTGTGTGTGTGTGTGTGTGTGTGTGTGTGTGTGTGTAGAAGAGGAGGGGCCACAAGGACCACAAGATAAAGCTGAGATTAAAATGAAGACTCCCTGGATTTTGTTTCTTGGTCACCTAGAAAAAAATCAATGGACAGAGGTCTTAGCCATCTAGAACTTATATCAGCACACTACTGTTTGTTTCCTTGATGTATTTCAGTAGTTGAAAAAATGATACTACTTTTACTTCTTCAGAAAGCAGCACTTTAAAAGATGCAGGTGTCATCTTCATGAGCATATTGGAGTAAAAAAGTATGTAAAGCAATTTTTCAAAAGAGATGTGTGTTGGGGGGAGTGCCAAATGCATCTCAAGTTGTTTGTTTAAAAACTTGTTTGGCACTGGAAGTAAATAATGCTTTCACAGCAAAAATAAATAAAAGAAAGACTAGCAGTTTTAATTTTTATAATACCCAGGGTAAAAATGACTGACACCTATGTTAAATTTGCTATTCTAAGGCTTCATCTGGAGAGTGAAATTCATTGCACTTTAAGACTGACCAGCTATGGAAAGCTTTTGCTTTGGGGAGTATGACATACCTATGTTGACGAGATAAATATGCCAGCATTGTAAAGGAATTCACTATTTCTGGTGGAACTCTTAGAAACCTTGTACTCATAGGATCAGGGTGGAGGAATTAACTATATTGTCAATTCTTCAGAGACTTTACTACAAGCTGAAATAACCAAACAGTGTTCTACATGGAGTTTTATGAAATCACCTTGGAAGTAAGCTCTTTTAGCTTACTGAATATATAACACAGGGCAAGGTGTCACAGAAGAAAAACAAACTACTTTCCATTGTAAGATAACTGGTCTGAAAGTTAAATATCCATACAAGAATCCAGAAGTTAAAATTTGGCATGCATCAGACAGGGTTTTTATTACAGGCATTTTAGTGAAGGAAAAAACATCTGATTTCATAACAGGGACTTTCATTGTGTTTTTAGTTCTCTAACACTGTGGTTGATTTTACTGCCACTAGAGGGCAGAGAAACCACTAATTTCTTCTATTCTTATTTCTATTATTTCTGTGTTCTAGGGACATGTTTAATCTGTCATTTACTTGTATTTTACCTGTTCTTTCTCTGTTTATGTTTCATTTCCAGTGGATTCAGACAATTTAGCTAGTGATATTACTAATTTGTAGCATTTGTTGTAAGTTGTCCTGTTGACTTACTGGGACTAAAGTTTCTGTTAGCATTACTATCTATACCAACATATTAGGACATAGGGGTTCAGATTATTGGACCAGCATGTTAATGTTCTCCAGAAATGATTCATAACTTTCCATAAAATTCTTAACATATGGAATTGAGAAAGCTTTTTATAACTTGAGTTTACATAAGTTTGGATTGCCACTGAAATGTGGTCTAGAGTAGGATTTTCATTCATGGATGTCTGCATGGAGTCTTACAACTATTATTATATAATAAACATGATTTTAACCATTGTAATCATATCATTTATAAGCTGCCCATATATTAAGGAATGCATGTTACCAAAGCTGATTTCTCATCCTTAAGAATGTGCTTGAATGAAATTAAAAATGCAATGTGTTACAAAGTTTCTTCTCTGCCCCTGTAGAGATGTAGCAAACGTACATTTTTTTTCTTTCTAAATGTTATGAGCTATTACAGAACCACTATTTTTATAGACAAGTGGATTGACCTACAACTGTGATCTTGAGATTTAAAGATTTCAGTTTGTTTTCCACTTTTTGTGAAGACCATGACCTAAGGCCTGAGCCACTGGCCCAACCCATCACATTCAATATTCTTGAATTCTCACCAAATGTTCCCCGAGTGAGGACCACGTGTTCCTACCTCTTGCCATCCCTCTTGTTCTTTTTTCACTAATCCTATCTCCCTCCAAACACATTCTACTTTCTATTACTGGCTTATTTCTAACAATATTTCCCCAGAAATGAATGCAACCACTTATTGCCTCCTGTGAAGCACTTTAAGGGCTTTGCCAGTCTCTTGGTTATTTAGTTTTCTTTTGTACGTACTGTGCATCTCTATCATATATCCTATTAGACCATCTGGCTGGTCCCTGCAGTCAGGGTTCATTGTCATTGTTTTTGACCCTGCCACAGCATGTAACATATAGGAATGTAATAAATACTTGCAGAACTGAATGGAACAGCATAGAGCTGTAATTCAGGATGGATTACTGACCTGAATACAGCCCCAGGAGATTTTTAAGTATTCTTAAAATAAATTGCTTTCAATCAGTAAAATGGAAATGGATATTAAGAGTTAGCTTCATAGGACAATAATTTAAAGGCAGAGTATATGATCTAGTTCTACCTAACTTCCTCAGTGCTCTGGAAGACTCCTACTTGCCTTAAGCCTTCTACTTTTTTTTTATTACTATTTAAAAATTATTTTCAGTTTCTTTGTCCTTTCAGACAGGTTTTCTCTAGGTAGCCTTGGCTGTCCTGGAACTCGCTCTGTAGACCAGGCTGCCCTCTATCTCAGAGATCCACCTGCCGCTGCCTCCCTATAGCTGGGATCAGCTTCTTTAATTCTTCTTATCAGTGGGTAAAACTTGTAAAGTTCATTCATTGTTCTCCTGTACTGCTTGTTTCTGATTGCATATTCATTCACATTACTACTGACTTTCTATCTTCAAACACAGTGCATATAGATAGTGCTGCATATACACATGTATACATAGGCATGAGCATACCTACACAGATGTGTAAAAGCATATTGTTGTATTTTCCCATGGTCTCCTAAAGATTCTAGCACCCCCAGTAAACAGGAAGCAGTCTAGAGAACACAAAACCCATATTTCCAAGAGGTGGGGTGAATGGCTTTGGTCATAGGATGGGGTATAGATGTTTGTTATTGGTCACAGCCTTTGGTTACAAGTTGTTATTCATCATGGCCAAGAAAAAGCTAATCAAAGGAGTCACATTCAAGGATCTCTTTCTAAAGGAAAAGAAGGGGATACAGTATAAAAATCATGAGATGTGTCTCTGCTCTGCAGCCAGCATGAGAGACATATGACTAGAAAGCCATGTTTAGCTCATTTTTTGTGTGTTTAGAACCATTTTTAAAGCTTTCACAGGGTTTACGTGGATATGCATGGCTGGACATTGGGTGCCATTTGTAGATGGATTTTTCTGTCCTACCAACCAGCCCCCAAATAATGACATGGAGACTTATTATTATTTTATAAAAGCTTGGCCTATAGCTTAGGCTTGTTTCTAGCTAGGTCTTATAACTTAAACAGTTTATGTTAATTTGCCTTCTGCCTTGTGTCTTTATTACATTTATTTTGTACTGCCAATGTTATTTCCTCTCTATCTGGTTGGTTTCTCTCTGAGTCTCAACCCTTCTTTTACCCAGAGGTCTGTCTGCCCTAGCTATTGGCTGTTTGGATTTTTATTAAACCAATCTGAGAGACAAATCTTCACATTGTACACAAAGATTATCCACAATAAAGACCACCTGCCATTGATCGTGGAGGCTTTGGAGACTTAATCTTATAAAACCTGTAGTGGTAGCTTTCCTGGGGAAGAGGTCACTGATAATGCTTCTTCACACTATCTGTGCCCTGCACAGGAAACAGAGTGCCCTTGCACTTCAGAAATTCTGTTTGTTTACTTTTTGGTTTAGAGACAGGGTTTCATTGCACAGCCCTCTAACTCAATTTGTAGACAAGTTTGGCCTCT